AAGACAAGGGAGACTGCGACGCTGCTTTTTGCTGGAGGACGAGGCGGCTGCGCAGGCAATGGTCATGCCAAACTCGGACCGGTTCGTGTCATAGCTGGTGAAGTGCTGTCCGGAGCAAGTATACGACACTACCCTGACATGTCGCTGATCCACTCAAACCATTCCCGAAGAAGAATATTAATTCTTCATTTTCTGCATCCCAGGGGAGGCGAGCGAGAAGCAGCTTCACCCAGAATATCACAGGATGCAGGAATCCCTGGAAACCCATTCTGCAGGTGACCAAGCTCAACTCTGAACGTCAGTCGCTGCAGCGTCAGCTTACGGAGGCAGTGCGGCTGAGTCGGAGCATGGCATTGATACAAAGTTTGGCTCGGAAAGCCAGCGGCCTTTGCGGTGTGTGGGTTGACTTGCGATGCTTGCTTCAGATGATTGCTGGCAGAGATCGGCTTCGGCAAGAGCTACAAGACGAGGCCACGAGATGTGCCAGGTTTCATCGGGCATGCATTGCAACCTGTAATTGCAACCCGTTCCAGCGTGGCGTCAAGGTCAACCGTCGAGGGGAGAGCGAAGCAAACTTGCAACTCGGCTCTGCACTTTTGAGAGTCTTCTGAGACTGAGCCAATGCGACCCCATGGTCTTGCTTCGCTTTCCGAGATGCCGGTTTTGTGTTGTGTCGCTGCGAGGTACTCGCAGCTGGCAGCACCAACCTTAGATCCTTCTCGAACGGTCGACGCTTCCGTTCTGCTTCGCAGGCTTTGTGTGTTCAATCGCTTGTAAAAGTATGCTATTGAAAGAGACGACCTCACCCTTCAAACAGGTGAGCGTCCGCATTTCCTGTGCGGGATTCTGCAGGGGCTAACTAAGACTGGGACGATCCCCCAAATCTGGCAGCTCCTCCTGCGAGTGGAGACGGATGACGCGGAGGAAAGCCTTGCTGGCAAAGTCACCCGAAAGTTTAAAACAACAAAAATGTTCTGCTGTGCTCAGCTTGTCAACCTCCCGCACCGCCGCCGGCCAAGGACCGTCAAAGACAGGTGGAGGAAGTCACAAGACAGGCAGCTGTAGCCTAGCAGACACTGCCAGCTTCAGAAAGAGACAGGTATGGGCCATGGGCGGGTCCTAGCTGTCCTAGCTGTGTGTCGGAGAGGCAGCAGAGCTCCGTGTGGCCCTGGCGGATATGGGCCGAGAGAAGGCAAGTTTCAGGTTGATGGGCTTTGTGTGGTGGAGACTGCTACTCGTAGTTGACAGAGAGCTATGAATTGCGAATGTCTAGCTGCAGAAGGATGAACAGATTCAGCTGCTGAAATGTTCAGGCTGCTGCCCTAGCAGCAATGCACGAGGAGCACCCCGCCTTTTGCAAGTTGGCGATAGGATCACGGAGCGGCGAGCAGCGGAACCTCAGTGCGCCTGAGCAGGAGCAGTCTGTCATGCGTGCCAAGTGGCTGGAGGCCTGAAGCGCTGCAGAATTTTAGCACTTTCCTGGAACACACACGGGATGAACTACTGAAGACGTTTCTCCATATGTTGTTTAATTATGATTAGTTGACGCGGTCCATCTGGCTGCGCTTCTCGTCTTTGATTCAAACTTGCTGACATGTTGCCAGTGAGTGGGCGCCTGTCAACGTGAGACCTACCTTCTGTTATAAGTCTTATAAGTTTTCAACCACGCAGACATGACTGCAAGAGCCCAGCGTTCTGGCCTTCTGGAGGACGTCTCCCGCCTTGAAGCCGAGAAGCTAGCACTGCAAGCCGGCTTCGAAGCAGAGAAGGCCAACACTCGCTTCACCACTGTCCAGACACCTCGCTGCGCTCTCGGCAAAGGCCGTGCTGCGCGAGCAACTGGAGAGAGACAAGCAGGTCGCAAGTCACAAGCAGCCTTGAAGCGCATCTCCGTCCAGTTTGAGATTTATCTGCATTTTTGAGGCAACAATGGTTGCTTCCACGTGCAGCCTCGGTGTGTCTAGTGACGTGCAGGAGGCTCGTCCTTGCTGCAAGCCATCAAGCGGAGAACCAGGGGCTGCTTCTTGTCCCTGGAAGGCAGCGATGCGCGAAGAGGCAGCTCATCAGGTGCCACCCGCCACCCGCCATCTCTCACTGCATCGGCGTGTCTTGGTCTTGTGATCAGGAGAGCTTTGAGTCGGCAGCGCAGTGGGCAAGCAGGCGGGGCAGCGGAGGAGATGCCTCGCCTCGCGTTGAGAAGTTGCCGCGCTGGTAAGGAGCGCGGAGCTTCGCCACCAGCTGCAGGCGACCACAGCATCCATCACAATATTGGGTCCAGCGACTTGATCCCAATGCCTCTAAGGCAGCCACCGAGGGTGCGGAACAGCTTGAAAGACTACGTCAGGTCCAGAGCTCAGCCCCCGAACCGTCTTGTACCCGGATTCCCCCAAGCATATATGTAGCTATGCTGTCCCCTGCTGCGAATCAATTTCACTGCAAGCTTTGCAGCTGCAACCAAGATACCCGTTTCTAGAGCGGGGATGTGTTTGCGCTTAGTCATGATCAGTTTGAGGCACGCCTGATGTGCTTGGAGGCAGAGGCACAGGACATGCTTGGAGCTTACAGCCAGTCTAAGCTTTCCGTGGCCCCGGGGTGTATGAGCAAGCATGTTCTAGTTCATGCTCAAACACGGGAGCCTAGTTTGCTCTGCATCTGTCCGTGTTTTGTTGCGGCTTGTCTCCGGTAGATTTTGATCCTGCGACCTCAGGCAAGCAAAATGGCAACAGCCAGTTGCAGCAGACGAGGAACTTCGTCCGCTGGGGTCATTTGTCCGCCGAAACAATGTGAAAGCATGGCAATACGGTGCTCGTTGAAGAGTGGTGCACGGTCGAGCAAAATTGATGTGCAGGCATGTAGGATTGTTGACCCTTGCAGTACTCGGCGCCATCCCGCGATGCGGACAGCGAGGTCCGACTTGCACACTGTTTTGGGAACCTGGCAGCAGGGCAACCTTGAGCTTTGGCCATTGGTGTTCCAGGCGTGCACAGGGCCTCCCGACGAAGAGGCAGGACTGAAGTTTTGCGGCAAGTCGCAGTTGAGAGGCCAGAGGCAACAGGAAAGGCGAGGCGACAATGCATGATTCGCCCGGCAGAGGCTTCTCAGGCTTTGCCTTCCTTCCCATCGGACTCTTTGCACAAGACGATGCAGGCCACCTCAGCCCTTCATGTCAAGTCGCGAGTGGAACGCGGGGTGGGCATGCCCTAGAATCAACTAGACACCATCAAGCACCATGACAAGCATGAGGTGCAGTGTAGTGTAAAGATCTTGTCTCGTGACAGCTTTGCAGTGGCCGTGCTTTCGTACTTTCTGTCGGGAGGCAGACTCCAGCCTCGGCTCTGCCCCGACATCTCCTACTGGGACATCATCGGGGCCGGACTGTTCGGCACCTTTTGAGTCTGTTGCGGGCGTGAGAAAGCTTCTTGGTGTCGTGGCAACAGAGCCCAAGCAGCAAAAGAGAGTTCCGGCAGGACGCACCATCGTCGCCGCCAGCTACACGACTGAATTCACAAGGTGCAATGATCACGAAGAGCTGTGGTGCATCGGATGGATCTCGTTCTACATATTTCAGTATCGCAGGCCTCGAATCAGCATCGTCGCCATGTAGCTCTTCAACTCGAAGTGTTGCGGAAAAATTACTGTAGTTGCTGTAAAGTTGCAAGTACGTGTTTTCAGAGCTGCAAAAACATGCAGGAGTCCACAGCTAATTGCAAGTAGCCGTGCATGACAATCCGTACTCGTGGCTGCTCGCGTGTTTATCTCGTGTGTTTGTCTGCGCATCATTCTGGAAGGTCTGATCCCCGGCATGGTCAAAAGCTCAGATATGCTTTCAGGGTGCTTCAAAACGGCTAACATGTTAGGAAAAGCAGAGTCGTACAACTGCAGAATTTCGCATTGGTTCTCGTAGGAGCCTTTGCTACGCCAGGCCTGGGAAGGGACCAAGATGCCTCCGTTGTTGCCGTCCAGTGGATGATAAGGCAGGATTTTTCTCGTCAAAGGAGACTGTGCGGATTTGTGTGGCTTTCATGGCCATGTGGGGTTTGGGTTGGTCAAGACTGGCATTTGCTTGTAAAAGCTAGTGTCATGTCGCCTTTGAATCTATGCAGGTGCGCCTTCGGCCAAGATGGCCCGTGAGAGTGGTCTAACAGAATCTTCCAGGACTGGAGCCGCAAAGCACGGCTGGGCAAATCGAGGGCTGGGCATGTGGCCACACACGACGAGAGAAGTGTCCGGGAAACCTGAAAGAGGTCGTTACATCCTGGCTCGAGGTTGCTCCTGCCAGTAGGATTTATCTGAAGGTTTTTCCACGGTCACTGGCCCTGGGCGGAGACTAGTCACATCTAATTGCAATCTGGTCAAGCTTTGCAGCAATGCAGCCGGAATTTATTCTGCGACCATGGGCGGTGATTCCTAATTCCAAAGGCATGGCAGACGTGTTCAGCCAACCCATGCCAAGCCACCGTCCAGTGATGTGGAATGTTGCATCCTTACCAACAAAGGGCCGTCTCAGTTTCAGGCTTAGTTCGCTGTGTTCTCGTTTAGCAAGTTGTTCATGTCAAGGTATGTCAGGTATGTCTGTCGATGAGGAGCAGACATCGGTTCGGCTTGCGACGGGTTGCTCTGAGCACCTTTGCCGCGCATCTGCTCAATGCAATGTTTTTTCCCATGTCTCACCCCGGAGTGTTACATTCCTGAAGACTTCATCCGGCGCGGTAGCTCAGTCGATCAGAAGCTTCGTGAAGTTGTTCGCTTGGTCGAACTTAGCCGATTGAGTTGAAGCAGGTTTCGAAGTCCTCTGGTAGTGAGATGTAGCCAAGTGTCTCCGGAAAGCCGAAGCAGCCAGTGACTGGCATTGAATTTGCCAACGTGCAAGCGAGAAAGCCGGCACATCGCTCTGGCACTTTGCGTATTTACCCGGGCTTTTTTCTGCTTTGCTTTGCTTCTGGAGAACTCTTTTTTGGTAGGCTTGTGTAGATTCCTGGATGCCCTTGTGCGTTGGCCAGCTGCTGGATTTGATGTACAAGTACGAGTGCGATCCGCACAACACGGCTGGTGCCTCAGAATTCTCAGCAGCGCAGAACCTGCATCCGCAGTGGCAACATAGCGTCAAGTGTTGGAAAGGTCGGAATCTTTGTCCCAGCTGGACACGACGAGGCATGGGCTCTTTGCTCTGGCTGGCCCTTGGAATCCGGCGCCCCTTCTTCCGCCAGGAGGGTGTCAAGGAGCTCTGTGAGGAGATGCGCCGCTCTGAGACCAGACGTTGGACCTTCGCGTCTAAGTCTAAGAGTCTTCTACACGTATAAGTTGCTAGATCCAGATATTCTAGATGGAGTCGGAGAGAAGGCGTCTCAGTCGTCTAATGTGTGCTCCAATTCGGCTTTCGACTTGGAACCCTCCTAGCACTTCTCGGAGGATCTTCTGCGGCCGCTTACTTTGCCTTGCGTCCAGAGGGCGGGGGAGTTGTGACTAAGGTGCGGCGAGGAGCCTGAGATGGTGATCATCGACGAGAAGGTACTACTATGTGCCTTTTGAAGCCTGGCACATGCACGTACCAGTGCCACAAGCACATCCTGATACTGCTTGAACAGGCCAAGATGGCACTTGCAGGCTTTGCGCACCGGCCTTAGTTGTGTGTCTTGCACATCGTTTTCCGTCTATGACATGTCATGTGTTCTCTTGTCTCGCTGGCTAAGTCACAGCACCGAGAAGGAAGCCTTGGACCATGAAGCAGTGCTCTTGTACTCGCCTCGAACATGCTCTTAGACGCCTTTTGGACATGCATTGCTATCCCTGCTGCTCCATGCCACGGTAGTAGAGCCGCTGCACAACATTGCACAACAGTGTGCAAGCGGCCAGAGTGGAGTTCTGAGTGGCCCTGTTGTGGCTGTATTCCCTGAAGCTTTTAAAGCTCTCGAAAGCACTAGTTCTGTCCTTCAGGTGGGACGTGCCGTCGTCAATTCACAGATTGCACATGTTCGGGTCAGGCCTGGAGTTGGCAGAACCAGAGGTCGTGCTTGTAGCTGCGCGTAGCTGACGTCGCTTGTCGCATCGAACTCTGAATGATTTCGCTGACCCCACGCTGTTGCCCAGAGCCCAAGAAGATGCCATTCTTGATACACCGTCCTGCTAAGATGTGGGCAGGTCGGTACCGCTTTTTCGTGGAGCGACCGAAGTCAGAGGCAGTGATCAGACAAAAGTAGAGTGAACAGAGATTGTTTTTGTCACAAGAAGGAGCCTCCGGTGGAGATTTTCAAGCCTGTGCATCCCTTTATGCTGCTTCGGCCTCAGACGTGCCGAAACAGCTCATCAAGAAACAGCCATTGACCACCCCGAGAGACCCTGTGTCAACTGTCACATCGTCAGTGCTGACACAGCCTGTGTCTTGAAGCATTCTTTTGCTGGACACAATACGCATTTGTCGATGTTGTCTCATGTCCAGGCAATGGGATGTTCTGACACATCCGGGTGGTGGCTGCTGGGCATGCATTAATCTAGTCACACTAGGCAGCACCTTCCGTGGACACCCCCGTAGTATGTTCTTCTGCTTGTCACTTGATTACAGTTTGCATGTTTCTAGGGCTTTCTGCATCCTCAGTGTTGGTATTCCTCCGTGTTGGTATCGTGTTTCTCAGCTCTTGCTGTGCTTGAGCCGTTCATCATTGCTGCTTCGACTGTAAGTTTGTAGTGTGAGTCTTTGGACCTCGGTTCGGGACGCATTCATGAAATTGCACTATGCAGCTCGAAATTCATGGTTTCGTCGACACTGGCTTCCAGTGAGTTGGCATCACACCAGAGTGGAAACACGCAACTTGTTGGCGAAGGTCATCCGCTTCTTTTCGGCCCAGGTAAGAAGAAACCGCCGACTGTCAAGGGCATGTGCGACTGGCGCAACCCTATGGGCCTCTCGCAGGCAAAATCCGTCCATTCCTGTCAGATGCCTGCGGAATTGCCTGCAGATGTTGGCACAAGCAGGATTTATGTAGCTCGGTTTCGCTGTGGCAAGACGGACAGATGACAATTCCGCCAAGGTTTTGCTTGCCATGTGGACGACTCGAAACCCCCCGCTGAGTTCGTCGGATGTTGCCTGGCATCAGCCGTCCAAGAACCAAAGGCAGCAGCCGCCCGGTCTGTCGAGAGATCTTAGCAAATTCCAGATCAACGGCAGCCGATCCTGGCAACAGCTGTCTCCGCATTGGCTGCAGAACTTAGTGCTCGCTGCGGCCCCAGGCTGTGCTTCGATTCAAGGCCCGGGCCTTGTACGGATTGTCGTGCTGCAGTGACAGCACAGCATGGCACTGCTCACGTGCATCATTCTTCACAGCAAGTCTGCCGCCGAGTGCGACAGGTCTGGAGGGAGGAGCCCAGGCAAAGCTTGGGCAGAGCCAGCATACTGCTTCTGCAATTGACTGAAGCACAATGGGTTCATGGCGACCCAATCTCAAGGGCCCATGCAGTCTTCTTGCCGTGCTGGTATTCGCAGGCATTTGTCTCTGGAGCTTCTGTGCTGCCGATGAGATTCCTGCCATGGTCTCAGCTCGCCCAACACAAGGTCTAAGGCTCTGAGGGTACAAGCAGGTCTAGACGTTTGGGTTGTGTCAGCAGCAGCGCCAGCCAATCTTCGGAATGTGCTTAGGCCAGCGCTTCTGAGCACTCTGTGCCCAGAGCGCTGGTGTGTTGCCTGGGGCGTTGACGCTGGCTCTAGCGAGGCAAGGCTTCACGAGGCGTGAGCAGGCCGTATAGGCCGTAGGCTTGCATGCAGGTGCGGGGCGTGCGCATTCTGCACCACGAGTTGGTCAACCTTCCGAAGAACACTCTTGCAAGCCCTGCACGGCTTCACTCACGAAGTGCTCTGGAACTATGTTGCTGCTTCAGGCTCCTTCCTGTAGACCGCCGAATCTGTACCCGCCTTTGGCGTTGCAGTAAGAATGCACGTGCGACGTGTCCAGTTTCCACGGGTCGTAGTCAATGTGAAGATGAGATGTCATAAGATGTCGAGCATGCTCCTCCGCTATGAGCCAGGCGCCACCGGTTCTGGAGGCAAAAGAGCTGCAAAGCATTCGTCCTTTTTACCACAGCTTGTTTCAGACTTTGGGTAGTTTGTAGTCAGCTTACATTAACTACTCATCTCGCTGTAACGTGTGATGATTGGCAGGTGCCTTGAACCGTGTACCGGAAGTCAATAGTCGGCAGGTGTATTGAAGACCAGATCCCATTCAGACCCACAATGCCATTGAGGCGGTGAACGCACTGCGCACGGGCCTTCGAGAGGCAAAGCTTGTGCTGGGTGGGTTGCATGAAAGCGAAACACTACGTAGCGATGTGTAGCGTGCCCGTCAGACGTGTGTCCTATCGCGCATGCAAGTTGAGCATGACCATCTCTGGACGGTTGTACTTGGAGGCTCTTTATCAGGCTCGAGGCGTACATGATCACAGTAGTATCACAGTCTTAGTGCCGGTGTCAACAGAGAAAGGTGGCGCAGGCTCAGTCTTCGCACTCCTGGTGGGACGAAAGTTCTGGCGGCATTGCTTTTCGGAGACGCAGGCATTGTACCCAGCTTCTTGGTGGGCGTGGGATGATTGGGGCGGCGACAGCAGCTTGGCATGCCCTCGTCTCGACGGGTTGCGGTGATTTTCGCAGGAACCGAAGACAAAGGTGTCAGGGTTGTTCCGCGATGTTCCCTGTTACGAAACAGCCAGTGCATTCCATCAGAGGCAGAGGGCGGAACCATCGAGGCCGAGACCCGTTGTGAAGGGCTTCAAACGCCGGGGCATCGCGGTGTGGTTTTCAGGGCCACGTCTCGTTTTGCGCACCTTTCTATGCTGAGCGGTTCAGGAGGGCTCCAGGTCTAGTGCGCGAAGTAGCAGGAGCACCTGCAGGATTCTTGCCGAGCAGCTGTGACATGTGATCGCTAGGTCGACACGAAGACCGTGATGGCGAGTTGCTGGTCACCATCTCAGGTTCCAGGGGATGCCGAGAGCAAGCCAAACCGCAGGCCGTGTAGGCTTCGCACACAGTGTTTGCTGACATATCCAAGGATCTACCGGACCTCAGCCAACTCTTGAGGGAGCTCATTGAGGCGGACGAAGCAGTGAAGACGATTAGTTGAAGTGTGCAGCTGTTGTGTTTGATTCCTTGATGGGTTCCTGACAGGTAATGCCTGATCCTGAGAGCTCCGGTGTCCAGCGACCCAAGAAGTGTTGAGCCTAGTGACATGTGATGTCTGATGCCAAGTTGTCGAGGCCTTTCTTGCCATGATGAGTGTTGTTGAGGATGAAGTGGCCGCCAGCGACGACCTTCTCACAGGCCTTGCTGCAGCCTAAGGCCTAAGGCTCGCTGCATGACCCCATGCAGTTCAAGAGAGGACTGGGAGGAGGAGGACGAGTGCTTCCTGAGAACCTTGCAACCCCTGGCCGAGCGGGAGGACGAGTCGGACGTCAGCGCGGCGTTTCGCGTTGCTGTCTGTTGCTTGTCGCCGTCTTGCAAGGACTTGCGGTGGGGACACGCCGAGACAGGCGGCAAGGACAGTTGAGTCATAGTGTCGAGGTGTGCCTGCACAGCTGGCAGGAACTTGGGGAAAGTGTCCTGCCTGGTTTCACCTTGGTGGGTTGAACTGCGATTCAGGACACTAATTTTCCAGAGCTCGTGGAGCATCTTGCAAAGAACGGAGAGCCCCAGCCTCTGGTGCGGTAGGTTTCAGGGGTCTCGCATGGCTCGGGTCACATCAATTAGAACAGTCTGAGGTGTGCGATGAGTTCGCTGCCAAGCAAGATTCGAAAAACGAAGAAGCAGTTGCAAAAGCGGAGCTGCCCTCGGGACCGCTGACTCTATGAAAGAGACAACATTGCCAATCAATGCCAAGACACGCATTGAGGCTGCGCTGAATTGAACTGTAGACATTGAGGCCGGACCTGTTTGTCATTCGCCCTACGAAGAAGGATTGCTTCGTTCGCACCGAACTTAGCCTTAGGGTTTGCACTGGCTCGAGGGTTGTCAGGCTGTGGCAGACGTCCCTCAGGTCTGGCAGGTACGGCGAGTACCGAGGTGGCCACTTCCAATGCGAAGACCAAGCCCCAGAAAGGCACCTTTGCGTCGATGGTTTGCGCTGTTGGTGGCGGCAGTGAACGCTTCACTTGATTGTGCTCCTGTGTTTGGCGGATATCATATGAGCATATGCTCTGATACCATGGTGCAAGCAGTAGCAACGGTTTCTGTCTTCTGCATCATTCCGTGGCATGTTTTTCTTGATATTCGATGTCTCATCACAGCCTTTTCGAGAAGCACTTGCGTGGTGCCACCGGCATGTTGGCGGCGGCACAAGCTCGGCACACGGCAGGAGCCGGGGGGCGAGAGCGACCTTTGGTCGACGCGCTTGTCAGGCACTTCGGGAAAATTGGTGGCGAAGTTGCTTTGTTTGCACATGCAAGACATCTCACCTTTTACAAGAGACACCAAGGGAGCGCAAGAGATGGCACCCTCGAGTCTCCACACAGCTTTTCTATGCTTTTCTCATTGCAGGGTCTTGACGGGTCGCGGCGCTGTGGGTCTTGGAGAACTTGGATCCCAGGCCGAAGCTGCCTTTAGCTCTGTTGGAGTTGGAGGAAGCACTCTGGAATCTTCATTGCAGTCAACTGTGCGCACCGTGCAGACGGCAATCAGGAGTCTTTGAAGAAGCTTCTGAAGAAGCAGCAACCTGATCTACAGAAAATCCGGCAATTCGTCACGGCCCACAGCTCAGCCAAGTGTCTCGAAATCTCACTTGGCTCGGACCGCTGAACACCCGCAAACAAAGCCACATTCACTCAGCAACTCTGCAAACACCCAGGCTTTTCCTGGCGTCTTCCACTTGGGAATGGCAAGCACCCCAGCAAAGAGTACGTGAGGCGGGACCAGGCGAAGACCCGAGTTGAACTTTCTCAGAAGAGTATCGGTCAGTCCGCGGCCTAACTTCATCGACCGCATGGGGGCTCCAGTGCTGCTAGTTATTTCAACTAGAGGGGGATCACTCTTTTATGCCCCGACGCTTGATTGTCTGGTGGAAAGAATAGCCAAAGGGGGGGAGGCAGCACCATGTGGACCAACCCTATAAAAGACTGATTAATGCCTTTCCGTGCAGAAATACTGGTAGGAAGTAGCAATAACTCTGGAAACGACTGGCCACTGCAGCTGTCCAAGGATGCATCTGGACAAGTTGCGGTCACCCTAAGTGGCCGGTGCCTTACAGGCGAGAACGGCAGACACGACATCCTGTCCACCTGTCCACAACATGCTTGTGGCATCTTACCCCAGGCGATGGGGTGCGCAGTCTGCCCTTGGTGAAGAGTGCAAAAGGTGCGAGCAGCCGTGATAGCATTGGCATTACATGACTCGGCACAGACCCGAAAGCTCAGCCAAGCGTTGTCGTGCTGCTGTGCCCTGTGCGGGTGCCAGGAGGCAAAAGCGGAAAAGGCGGCAAGCGATCGGCTTCAGGAGCAAAGCACAAAGGCCAGTAGCACACCTGTCAAGAGGCAGCCTCTCAGACTTGGCAGCCCGGTGAAAAGGCCTGGCTCCAGCTGTGCTCAACTGTCTCTTAGCACAGGCTCCAACCCTTCCGTGCTGACTGTGCGCAGCTCAGCGTGCCAAAGCCGCGAACATGCCTTCTCAGTGCACACGAAGCTGGCCCCTGAATTTGAACCGATGATAGTACGAATGAAAGACAGGACCAGTCTGTACTTCAATTATGTATATACTTCAGAGACACGCTGAAACACGTGACCAATCCACAAGGAGCATATATCCTCGCTGTGTGGTTCTTCGCCTGCCACCGCGGCTGTCAAAAGCCCAGAGCCTGTCGCTGGATCTGTAGCTGTGGTTTGGTCTGCCGTCTGCTTCTTTCAAAACGAGTTCCGCCCCTCTCCAGGATTTCGACGGGCGTGTCAAGGCTCTTCTTCTCGACGTGCAGGACAGAGGTGGTCAGCGCGAGTCACGCAATGCCACCAAGAACAGGAACACCACAAAGCGCTTGCCTCCAGATGTGGGTGGTTGTCAAAATCATGGTCCCTTTTTGGGTCCCTATTAGAGTACGGCACCTATTATTTAGGGTACCCAAAAAGAAACCTTAATTTTGACAACCACCCATGTAGAAACAGCGGAATGAGTAAGGCAGTAGGGGTGTTCGTGGGAAGCACAATGCTTGCGTGAAAGTGCTCCGAAGAGGCATGCAGCCCATGCTGTCTGACTTGCGACTGCTCTGTACATCCGCACTTCGCGCTGGAATCGTACAGAAGCTCCTGAGCAGATCCCAAGAGGCCTTCCCAAGAGAGCCTCTCTCCCAGAGCCAAACTTTCTCCGGAGTGATCCGAATTCCGACTAGTGCTTTCCAGCTGTGGAGTCCGACCTTGGAAACTGCATTGTGCTTCGCCGCTGAGACAAGTTAAGAAAAGACAACCCAAACAAGGCGACGAGCCTGTCTGCAAACTTGACAAGTTCGGCAAATCATACTTGCGAAATGAAATCGGCTCTTTGAGAGCAGCGGGCGTCGGGGGCGCGCCAGCCTCCGAAACAATCCCGAATGCTGAAAGCAACTACAGGCCGAGACGGCGCAGAGACAGAGATGAAGAGAGAGATAGATTACCTTACTTAAACCGGGGGACTTACTGTGTTCTCACGCCTTCCCATAAGCCCCATAACACATGGGGGGCCCATGTGGCCGGGAGGCCTCAACCGCCTCCCAAGCCCTGCAGAAGAAGAAGAGAGAGCGAGAGCGAGAGAGTTTCGTAGGGTCGCCTGGACGCCCCCTACGCCGAACAGATGGAGAATCAAAATGAAAGAAAGGAATGAAGACAGCACGAGAGCAGAACTCTCCCTATCCATGCGATTCGGGCTGGCTGGACAGCAACATGTCAATACACTGTTCCATACACAAGCGAGTGGCTAGGATGAACAGGGAAAGGACGAATGAAATTTAGGACAGACTAAACACGCCCTCGTTTGTATAAATGCGTGCGTGAATCCGCATGGCTTGAGAGATGTGGTTGTGTTGCTGCCACTGGCAAACAGGACAAACAAGGCGCCGAAGCCTTGGACGAGTGCTTTGACAACTTGCACGAATGGCTGAGCAAGAAGGCCACTTCTGATTTCACGCAACCCCACGCAAGTTGCGATCTTCAGAGTTGAGCAGCATGCTTTGCGGCTTTGCGCAGGGAGACCGGAGCTCCATCGGAAATTGGCTCAGTCCTGAGGAAGGTTGTGGCGAGCTGCGGGAGCAAAATTGAGCGCAGACGAGGCCGAACAGCAGCCTCAACACAATGTCAGCTGTCTCAGGCCGGCCTACATAACGAAGCTGGTGGTCAACTGGAAGCCGGCCTGCCGAATTTGTGGACTGCGCAACAGGCATACTCACACAGGTGCAGGAGCAGTGAAACCAGGGCAAGCACTCCACAGTCGCTCGATATTGCTGCCGATCAGATGTCAGGGACAGGATGCAATGATGTTCCCTGTGCAGAAGGTCGAAAGCTAAGATGTCGTTGCTGTGTGAATGGCAAGCTTCGGCTTGCAACTCCGCTTGCCCACAATCTTCCTGCCCTCGTCTTCCTCTTTGTATCTCTCCCTCCCTTTCTTGTCCTTCCCCTTTCTTTGTTTGTGTGTTCGGTGCGTTTCAAAACTTCAGGACTGGCAGCTTTTGTCTGCAAATGGAGGCTGCACGTGCCGCCCGCGGACTGCTCAGCTCGAAGGCATTCGCGACCAAGCTTGCGCTATCTGTCCAGTTTGAAGCGCTGCTGGTCCCTGATGATCTCAGGTCGTCGTCGTGACGCTTTGGGATCTGCCACTGCCAGTCACAGCATCGCATAAATTGTGCGATTCGGGCTTTATGCACGACGCCAAGTGGGCCAAAGGAGCATTGGCATCGCAGCAGAGCTTGAAAAGCGTGCAGGGAACATGAGCGCACTTGAGCGCACGTCAGGCTAGGTGGTAAACGCGAGCCGATTGTTCAGGCAGTGTTCAGGCCTTGTTGTCAGACTCCCGGCGGCAGTAGCGCCGAGTCGCGGAAGCCATCGTGCCGCTACCGTATGCCTTGTAGAAGCTGGATCGTCGGGCAAAGTTTCTGTGTTGTGCATCCATGTAAGCAGTTTCGACCATTGCTCCTGCAGCTTACTCGCTTTCTCGAAGCGTGTTGCACATGATTGTAAATTCAAGCAGAAGCATCCAGCTGATGCACTTCTGTGGCCAGCCGTGGAAGGACCCCGACTGTCTCTACAGAAATCTCTCGTTCCTTGTGCTTCAACTTGAAGCTGATGGCCAGCTGACCACATGAACGGAGGCCTCGTGTTTGCGTGTGATCAAACAGATTGTCATAGTGGCGTAGCGTGACATAGTGATTCGATTCGTGCAATCATTGCAAACTGACAGCCGTGACGGTTGATGCGAACACATGCTTGGGGGGCTTCATACTGACAGTAGCTGTGGAGCTTGATCAGTCCAAGACGTCGGAGCTGCAGTGGCAGAGCCACCCACTAGTCACTAGGAGGTCCGTTTTCCATGACCTGCTGCGGGCTTGCTAGGAACTGACTCCTCATGGTAGGCTGAAAGTTGACATCCATGCGGTTGAGGATTTGATGTGTAGGATCAAGGATTTGGGATTTTGGGATGCTCGGCCTCCGTCGGCCGTGCTTCGAAAGTTTCAGCCTCTGAATTACTGCTTCACTCTTTTCGCTCCGGCACATTCCGGGCCGTGGCCGGTAGCAAAGTTGCTTCTCAGCCCCACAACTTCGGAGGCGCCTCCGCCTGTGATGTCTGCAGTCTCGCGGCCGCCGCTTGGAGCTTCTCAGATACTAAGCTTACTGCTAGCAGGCTTCGAGGCGTTGCTATTGCTTAGCTCCTGAAATACAGGGCGCAAGAGGCCTGACCGGTCATCAATGTCCTGCCAAAGTGCAGAGTAGCAAGAGTAAGTAGTTCTTCGGCATTGATGGTTGTTTGTGGCAAGGTCCCGGGCTGCGTTCTTCATCTTCAACCCTTCTCTGGTGCTCCGGGCCAACATGGCAACTCCCGCATCACACCACGAAGCTGGATGCAGAGGTGTCCAGTTCGCAGACTTCCCACGGCAGGTGCCAAAGGAGCCGAAACCTACGGAGGAGGCGATTCAGGACAGGTGCCTTTGATCGTGAAACAGAGCTGCCAGCACATAAGACGCGCTAGACTAGCAAGTGCTGCACCAGACAACCAGACAGATTTGACATGTCCTTCTTCGGCACATGGGGACGGAGCGGAAGCATCGACAGCTTCAAAGCTGCAAGCAGCACAAGCGCAGCACACTTTGCGCAAGATCTGCACGAAGCAGGAACGAGTGATAATGCTTTGTCCCTGGCCTGCATTTTGCACCTGCAAACGCATCAAACGCAGCTGCACGAGTCGACTGACCGCGGCTGCAGGATGCGAAGATCATCTACTACTCACCCTCTTGCGCACCCATCGAGGAAAAGAGATCCCAGGCAAGCGAGAGCACTCTCAGTGTTATGCTGTTATGCATCCACCTGGAAAGTTCACAGCACGTTTTGCAGGTGGGGATGATCGAGGGCTGCACGGCGGCAAAGTAGTGAGGAGAACACCTTGCCACGATATGCACTGGTAGCCTGGCATCCGTCTGAGGCTTGATTTCCTTCACCGCGCAGTTTAGCGGGTCTGAAGGCCGGCGCTGGCAGTACGCCATGTTGGCTTGATCTGTCAATCTCTGCCACTGCAAGCACCAAGCGGGTAGATACGAGACATCCACCAATCTTGCACAAAAGGCGGTTAGGCAACTGCAACCACAACCAGAAGCGAACATGAATGACGTTGACGAGGTTCGAGTCAAGGAGCAGAAAACCTACTGTAAGCAAGCGGGCAGTTCCCGAGCGAGAATCGTACTATGCGAATCACAAAGCAGCACGGCGAACAGCGAAAGGCACAGGTCTGGCTGCAGTCAAGCACTCAGTCCTTGAGCCGTGCTGCCAATTTCCAGGTCCACTGAGACACATCAGAACCAAACAATTGGCATTCAGCGTGCTGGAGGCCCGTTGCCTGATCGCATACTGCACCTCTACATGATTGTCACAACAACCCTGGAGGTCGAACCGCAGATCTGGATGGTGCTGGTCATGAGGCATGCCATGGTGTGCCAGCTCAGCATTCAGCGTGATTGGCTGGGTTCGGGGTCGAAGTGCTTCAGCCACTTGCAAGACTGAGTGGTTGACAGATATGGTGTGGTCGCGAAGAACAAAACACAGCGTATAACTGGCAGACGCTGCTTTCTTTGTTTTCTTTACCCGTACGTCGCTTGTGACACGCGACTGACGGTTGCGCGTGTTACAAGCGACGTAGGCTGAGGCGGTGCAGAAGGGGTGCAGGTGATGCCATGTGGAAGATTGTGGAAGTGAGCAATCTCTGAACCGAGGTGAATGCAGAGACTCGGCCTGCTGGGGAACAGAAGTTTGACGAGGCGCAGTGAATATTTCAGCAGACATCGCGAATCTCGGGACCCGCGGGTTTTGAGTGGTTGTACAATTCCTGCGACAGTCACGACTTGCGCTTCTTGGCGATGCCAGGATGGCCTTCCAGAGAGTACACTGCAGGCCGCTTGAAACGCCCTCCAGTCGATCTAACTCCCAGCAATAGTAGCTGTCGTCAAAGTGGTAGTGGTAGTAGCACCGGTTTTGGTGGTGGTGGTGGTGGTGGTGGTGCTGGTGGTGGTGGTGGTGGTGGTGGGTTGTGGTGGTGGTGGTGGTGGTGGTGGTGGTGGTGGTGGTGGCGGTGGTGGCGGTGGTGGCGGTGGTGGCGGTGGTGGCGGTGGTGGCGGTGGTGGGGGTGGTGGTGGTCTTTGCTGTAGCAGCAGAAGTAGCAGTAGTAATAGCAATAGTACTAGTACTATACTTGTACTGGTGCTGGTACTAGGCGTAGTGGTCGTGGTCTAGCCATTGTGGTGCTGGTGCTGGTGCAGGTCCTCAACGTGATGCACCGTTTGTTTGGCTCAAGGCTTCTGCCTTGCGAATCAACGGAAGTTTGAGCAAACGTTCTGCGGTTCAGCGTCTAGTCGTAAGCGAACAATATGCTCATGATTTTGTCGGCGACGGTATCACAGTATCAACCGCTGCTCAAACTTCCGCTCCGAGTGTCCATACAGTCAATTTCTTTGCGTGCACAGACAAACTTCGCAGGCAAATCGTCTTCAACCGAAACCCGAGGTCACATTGCAGGAGCAAGTGAGCGTAGGATCTTGAAAAGGCCTCTCAATTGTGTCCAATCGGGCGCTGATAGCAGCTCGTGTTCTTTGCAAGTTTTCACTTGTTTCGAATCGATGGCGGACTTCAGCCATTGCTCAAGGCAGGAGCGTCATTACCAAATCCGGACAGATTCGATGTCATGGCTGTGTCCGTGCTATTTCCCTCCATCGGGCTCGGACAGTTCTGCTGAGTCTTCTTGCGAGGATATTCCACGAATTGATGGCGGACGCACAGCAGGAGCAGGAAAGGACAACATCTTAGTGTTGTTGCACGTCAATGTGCTTCTCCCTGCGCAGGCGCCGTCGCCTGCTTGGCCATCGCCACACAATGCGCAGTCATACAGCCTAGGAGGAGCACCTCGCTCAGCCACCCTGTTTTTGTGTCCATTCGCTAGCGGCTGCTGTCCTGATCCTCCATTCAACATGCAAATCACGGCATGTCAGACCCTGTATCCTGTGCAAGAAACCTTGTGGTAGAACTGGAATCGACACGCCTGACAAGCCAGATTTTCTTCTGACAGTGCGATCATGTGCATGAGTGTCGTCTCACTTGTACAGTAGCCAGGCAGCATGGCTCTCCCTTCGCCCAAGCCCACTGTGCTGAGGCCTCTGCATCGACGAGAGGCCGGAAATGCTGTCGGCCGCTCTGAGCTGTAACCCACAAGGCGAAGTGAACACGACAGTCACGTTCAGCCTTTCGATGCATCCAGCCGGCGAGCCTGACAGTCGGGACATTCGCTGCACATACGAATATTACAGGCTGAACACGAGTGTGCCTCCCTCACACGCCGCCGTCAGATACCTTGTTGGCTTCCGAAGATGCAGTCGACCCCGATGACGACTTGGCAGGATGCATCGAGCAACTCGCATTTCAGAATTTAGGGGGAGGGGACCCTTAACTCTGAGAACACGTAGTTGCCTCATGAGGCAAGCCGTTGCAGCATACCTGCAGAATCCGGGTGATGCCATACCCGAGGCCGGCAGAGATGAGAGAAGCAGCTCAAAATAGCTCACTCTGCTCACTCCTCAAAGAGCCTCACCCCTTCTCTGACCAGGAACTCCTGCAAGAAGGGCTTGCAGAGGAGGAGGTGCCAAAGAGAAGACGGCCGCGTCGTTTTGGTCTGTTGAAGTACACGTGCCATCGCTTTTGCGTGACGCGATACAAGGCAACCACCTGGACTTCTGCATTTGACGAGGATGCCAGGATCCACAGCTGTCCCTGATTGTCCCTGCAGCATCTTGCAGCGTCCATAACGCGGAGCGGGTGCTGGCAACGTTTGCATTGCTGTGTGTCCCCCCATCCCGAGACCCAGAGTGTGACTCAGCTTGAGACCATGACCCCATAACGTACAAGTAGTCGGGGGGTGCTTAAGCGCGAGAGAGGTTCGATTGGGCTCAGGTCAGCCTGCAGCACCTGCAGCTCCAGCAAGAGGCACGAGGAGTGCGGGACAAGCCTTGGCAGGAACAGTGTGGGCGCCTGAAGACGGGAGTGAGTGTTGGGACAAGCCGACAAGCCCTTCGCGGTTCAGTCTGCCGCAGATACTTCAACATCAGATGCGTCAGAATCAGCTTCAGGCGATGCAGGTGCGGCTGCCTGAAGTGGCGAGATGCCAGTAGCAAAGTAGCGTCGAGGGTGTACATCGCCTCACAGTCAGGGTGCACGGCTTGTCTTTGCCAGGATCGTCATAAGAATGTCATCAACCGGCTTGAGAACCAGCCCAAGCAACCACTTCCAACAGGGTCAACAGTTGTTTAGATGTCAAGCTTTCAATTCAGAGTCTCTTGTGCAGCAATCCTCGTTCAGAAGGCAAGGCTACAGACATCTTGCAGCGTTGACACCGGTTGGATTTGCAACTGAACTTCTTCAGAATGGGCTGGATGCGTCTTTCAGAAAGCCAGCCTCCACGATGCGGATGTGTCATGTTCCAGGCCTCTGTTTACTGGTGCTGCGCATTCGGGTAGCGGCCTGGAGTGATTGCTTTGCGAAACTTAGCAACAATACACACTGGTCTGTGCCATAGCAGTGCCTTCGCGGCGAAGCATGTATGCGTTGCATACAACGGCAATTTCCACATTTCACAATCGCCATTGCCCCCCCGGATCCACGATCTTCAGCCAGACCCTTGACTTGGGAGGAGTAATGAGGAGTAGCAGTAGAAGCAGTGTTCACCCAATTCTGCTGTTGTTGTACCTTCCTTTTCATGTCTTTGCCTTCTGTACCATGTCGGAGCAACTTACGGCGGGTCAGAAGGTACGTCGGACGAGAAGCTTTAACATCGAACATGCGCTGGTTCAGCGCTTTCTCGTTGCTTGTTTGATTTGGCCAGGTCTTGGGATACCCAAGCGCGCTCGCTCAGGCCATTCTGTCATTCGTTCCTATCAAGTAGATGTGTCGACTGCAAACAAGTCACTATCAGACGACACGCGGACATTCGAGTTTGCACAACGTGTGATGCCCTGTCATTTCTCTGACCTTTTGGGCGGCTCTTGAGGCACGGGGGTGACAACATTTCTGACAGCACATCGAGTTCAACGTGCAGGTGGCAACTGCAACCCATGCACACCGCCTGCATGTGAGGCCCAGCTCGCCGCTGTGCCGCGGGATGCCCGAATTTTACCCCAACAGGCTGCCTTTGTGAGAATGCTCGCAGACTGTGCTTGTGTCATGATGTTCTCATATAGGCAGCTTGCCGCTTGCGCAGCTGCACCGTACGACCACCTTCGACCACCTTCGTTGCCGATTAAGCGGTTGGGTTTCACTTTGCTGCAGTCGTGCTTGTCAGAATGAATACGGGAGTACGGGCTGACGTGAGACACGCTGGAGCAATGCAGTACAGCCAATGAGTTCAAGTTGGGATGTAGCAGTTGTGGCGATCATCTCAACAGGTGGAGCTCTGGGACCACTTGTACAATCATTGCGATAGTTAACCGTCGTGTCAGTATGTCAGCCGACACTCGGAAGGCAATGTTCTTCAACGCACCTGGAGCGACCCCGGCGCAGGCAGACATGCCATGGCAATTGAGTCCACACGGCCCGTGCAGCATTTCCAGAGTGGAAGGAGTTAAGTTCGTTGCTTCAGGCCATGAAGGCCGGGCTGCTGACTACGCCTCTCGAGCAGGCGTTTGCAAGACCGGGAGTTCGGTGGTGCTGTTGGTACTGGTAGGTCGTGATACTGCTCTGACTTGCCGTCAATGACTTTGAATTTCAGGCAACTCTCACGGCAGAAGTACATGACATGTGAATTTGGTTCGCCGTGTGTTGATTTTCTTGAGATTGTTGTGGCACTTCGTTGCTCGTTTGCATTTTTCCCAACCCTAAACCCGTGGGAGCTGGTGCAG